ATCCTATTATTCTGGAATAACAACACTCACATATTGAATTAATCAAAAATAGTTATCACATTTTAAAAGTGCCTTTCCCTATTATTTATGGCTGGCTTTCAAACATATAAGTCTGAGTTACTACATTCATATCATCTTAATCAAACCTAACTAATTAGCAATCCTAAATGACTATACTATAACAAGGTCATTTCAAAGTTATCAGAAAATCTGGATGTTCATAAATTCTTATTAAAAACACAAATAGAGAAGTAGGATAACATGATGATTTTTCTAATCAGCTGGAATACATAGTATCTGCTTGCCCTGGGAATTAGATAAAATAAGATCCAATTCCCATGAATACAAAACTGCTATTTCAGGAGCAATAACTGCAGTTCAGTGGCAAGGGGAGAACAAATGCTTAATTTGAGGGTTGTGTTATTTTTAAATCTAATTTTTTTTTTTTTGATTGGTGAGTTGCATTTTCCTGGTCAGCACTAACAGAAACCAGCCCTCCCCTTATCTTAGCTTTCTTCATGTCTGAAACAGTCATGTCCACGGTGGTAATTTTGTGCCAGCAAGCATCAGACAAGTCTCGAATGGGACACAGTTCATTGACCATGAGCTCACTAGTTTGAGGATCAGCATCAGTTAGATGTTCTAATGATCACAGATATTGCCAGAGCTGAATACCCCCTAGTAATGGCATAACCTCACTAACTGAGGCAGATTTGTTGCTTAATAGAAACTAAATTCCCTTCAGCTTTTACTTGAAATTTTTATGTCCTGCCCAGGAAATTATAAGTAGCAAACTGTGTGATTTATATCAGCCTGTATACATAAAGAAATCTCTAGAAAAATTGAATGCAACATTAAAGACCCATTATTGCAGCTTTCCCTGTTCACTCCCTTTGTAGCTCTTTGCTCTATGCATGTGTGTGGTTCTGAGAGAACAGCAACAGATCCAAACACCCGTGCCCCCATCCCACAAGGCAGGCACAGTGTAGGCATCAAAGGCAAATTTAACTTCATTCTACCCTATTGTGGCTGCAAGCGAAGAGACGCTGCTTAGTCTTAGCCTTCCTGGTGGTATTTTTGGCTTTCAAAGAAATGAGGTTTGTGCTTGCTGGCTTCTTTACATACACAACTGTGTACGTGTGAGAAAGTAAAAACCACACACCTTATTTCCATAGGCCAACATTTGTTCCCCAGAGCACAATGCCTTCAGTTACCATTGTACTTGGAAAGACCACAGTTCAGAGAAACTTATTTTAGGCTTTTGATCACTCCCTCTTTGCAAAGCAAACTCTTAAAGAAGAGCAAGCAAGACCGTTCATTCATAGCTCTTCCAATCACTGACACAGAACCTCATACTTTCTGAAAGATTTGTCCTATAATGGTAGAGGAACAGGAAAGTTTAAGTTGAAGAATACCAAAAAGTCACTGCATCGATTATACTACTACCCTGTAATCAAAAGTGTGCATCTCCTCTGGCATTTGAGTGACAGAGCATCTCTCACTCATTTCTGAGTAAAATCCCTGAAATTTCAGGATTTTTTGTAATATTGGCAGTTTCTGACATTCTAATATTTTGATGGGCTTTTAAAACAGAATAGAGATTTTGATTTGCAAGTCAAACTTCTGTCTGTAGCTAAGAAGTCAGATTATTCAAACTGACAGAGATCTACGACTCAATTACATTTTCCAAAAAAGCTTAGAAATTAAGCAAGTCTAATTAGCAACAGGTGATTCGGCAACAGGTGGTCAGAACCAGTGCAGAAAACCACATTGGCTTCAGCTTATCAAAAAGGTCACAGAGCAGAATAAGAGAAACACAGCACGTTAACAGTGATATTCTGGTTCAAAACGATTGAGAAGTACTGAGATAAAACTGCTCAAAGATCACTGAAGATGAACATAGCAAAGGTACAGCAGATTTTGACCATTCTGGCTCTATGAAGATGTCTCCAGCGTGGAACTAGTAACGAGGTGAACGAACCTGGCCCGCAGGCTCTGTACCTAATGATTCCCTTCATACAAAGGGTAACTGTGACAGGAAATCTGCAGGAAGTTAACGCTTCATCTTTCAGTAGCAGCACAAACGTAGAGATCGGTTCAAAAGTAAAAATACAGGCACTGCTTCCTCTGACTGAAGATTCTTAGAAAATAAGAAAGGGATCTCTGCAAAGAACCAAGACAATCTTATATTTTCACATCTTTAACATGCTGGTAGATAGCAATCAGTGAACACACCTCATATTGAAAATGAGAAAACACTACCAAAATATTAGGTCAGGAATGCCCACCTCAAGGTCTGCACATCCCCCCTTCCAGTCACCGTATCAGATGCTGCAGGAGCTCTCTTTTTGTGCAAATCAATGTTGCTCACAGTCATCAAACAGACCCACAGACTCAACAGCTACCAAATTCTCTCCATAATAACCCCAAATAAACAAATACACTGGACTTAAGCTGAGGCATCATTACATTTTCAATTAACCCTATATAACCAGTCTTCTCTGAAGATAAATCAGAGCTGGAGCCACTCATGTGCTTCCTTAATCTAGACACCTTTGCCTCATCTTGACTATTATTAATACTCTGAGAGAAATGCCTGTAGCAGTCCCTCACATCAGCTTCTCCTATGTGCCTAATAGCAGGGGAAAAGAAACAAAGAAACCACGTCCAGTCATTTAAAACTGTAAGAGCAATCTGCACTCCAATGGATTGACTGGACTGATAAACTGTCCATATACACGTAAATCTCAGTAACAGGTCCACAAGACATGGTACATGAACACCTGCTGTAAGATGGGTTTGTACTGTATAGACCAAAAAAATGATTCCACTTGTAGGAAGGACGTATTTTGAAAATCTACCTCTTGAAAGTTCCAATTGGATGGAGGGAAATAATTTAAATATTAAGAAGGTGAAACAGAACTCTAATAAAAGGGAAATACATCACTATTGAACTAACCAACTTGTACCTATGAAAGCCCTTATTCAATCTGAACTTTGGGTTCTTTGATCATGGGAAGGTCTATGCTACACCGGGCCTGATGGCACCAGATGGGATGCGCCTCTCTCGGAGAGGGGTAAGGATCTTTGGTCAGGAGTTGGCAGGGCTGATAGATAGGGCTTTAAACTAGAGTCGAAGGGGGAAGGGGCTAAAACCAGGCACGCCGGTGAAGACTTAAGGGATGGTATGCTAGAATCAGAGGGGCTGTGTGCCAGTGAGGTCCTTCGGTTAGATCCACAAGGTGCTGAGTGTAAGGAGACGCACCTGAAATGCTTCTACACGAACGCACGCAGTATGAGGAATAAAATGGATGAGCTAGAAGTACTGGCCCAGTCCCGCAACTACGACATCATCGGCATAAGCGAAACCTGGTGGGATGGGTCCTGTGACTGGGGTGTTGCGATAGATGGTTACACGCTCTTCAGGAGGGACAGGCAGGGTAGGCAAGGTGGTGGGGTGGCGATGTATGTAAAGCAGGGGCTGGACTGTGTGGAACTTCAGGTCGGCGATGGCAAAGTTGAGAGCCTCTGGGTAAGGATCAAGGGACGAATGAATAAAGGGGATGTCGTTGTGGGAGTCTATTACAGACCACCTGGCCAGGACGATAGCGCCGATAAATTATTCTTTACAGAACTAAGAGAGGCCTCGAGATTAACTCCCCTTGTCCTTATGGGGGACTTCAACTTGCCAGATGTTAACTGGGAGTGCCACACGGCTGACACGAGCAAGTCCAGGAGGTTCATGAAGCACCTAGATGATAACTTCTTGGTGCAGGTGCTAACAGAGCCAACTAGGAAAGGTGCCCTCCTAGACCTGTTGCTAGAAAACAGAGAGGGTCTGGTGGGAGATGTGGTGATTGGTGGCCGCCTCGGTCATAGCGACCATGAAGTGGTTGAGTTCAAAATTTACGGTGACAGAAGGAAAAGTGCCACCAAAACCTTTTGGGTAGACCTGTGCGGTGTCAAGAGTTGGACTTGATGATCCTTAAGGGTCCCTTCCAACTCAGGATATTCTATAATTCTATGATTCTATGATTCTATGAATTTACAAGCACAGCACTGCAATAATTTTACACAACATACACTTGATTCACATGGTCAGCCTGTGACTAAGAACACTAACTCATCACAGAATTGTTTTCTTCCACAATTAAAGGACCTTTCTTCTGAGATAAAAGGTAGTTGCTTGTTGTATTTTTTTATTACTTAACTTTATCTTAGTAAATATAATGTCACTCTAAGAATGACACCCTTGAAAATTCATGGCTTTTAGCCAAAGAGTAGCTGCAAGGCCAACGGTGTTGCAAGCTCTCCCAGAAACCACTTTCTCTTTTTCCTTCTCCCCACCAGGCGTGTGACCCAGCCCTGACCTGGAGGATGAGAAGCAAGTTAGTTCTCTGTAGGTCTCTCATTCTTCAGCTCCTACACTAAGACTGCTAGCAAGGGGGCCAGTTAGTGCCAATTGCAGTAGTCATTTCTGCAATGCCACCTGTCCATTGGGAACTTGTCTGAGACAACCAAACAGGTTTCAAACAAGCCTCCAAACAGCTGTCAGATGATAAAGAATTTTGATCATTACTGACCTGAAAACACTCAAACTAGAGACCTAGTGATGAAAGATGTCTCCTGTTTCCAGTCCCCAGAGCCGTAGAGTTCCTCAGAATACTGATACAATTCTGTTTGAACACAGCTTTTCAGGAAGTGGTTAAAACAGCACTCAAGTCTTAACAAACATCAGAAGAGATCTGAAGTCAAAAGACATTAGCTAGACAGTAAGTCACCCTGTCTGGTCTACTCACACCATTACAACTTTAACAGCCTGGCAGCATCAGCCAGCTTTTTGATTGTACCCACAAAAAGCCATGTTCTGCAAAGAGCATCCAGCTTTTGGAAGTACGTGCCAGGCAGGTAGTAGTGACAGCAAAATCCACGGCTAAAAAGTTGCAAAAATCACTCCAACAGTAAAACAACGAGCTAGAGAAATTCTTTTGTTGGTTTACCTTGAGCAGAAGTGGATACTTGCAAATTCGCTGAATTGGCGTCAGCAGATAACCCTCCAGTGGAATGTCTGTTGTCTTTCTGCCTCCCAAAAGCATGCAACTCTATAATCAAAAAAAGGAAACAAATGTTAACCCAGACAACACAACACTTTCACATGCTCTTTGACATGATTTTCTGTTTCTATAATACATACTATGGTCACAAAGAACTTTGCCATCCTAAGATAAAGGAAATGAGACTTCATTCACCACTGAAATATGGCCATCAAGTTAAGCCTGATTCTCTGTGAATCAGCAAAATAAGTATCTCTGTGGGATAACAGTGGCTGTATAGAAAGGTCTCTTCTCAAAGGAATACTAAACAGCTGGTGACTCAGAAAAAAAGTGTCATAATACCATGACAATCAGCAAAACCTAGATGCACCATTACCTAAAGGAATCCAACCTACCCCCACAATCAACACGGCCATTTGTCTTCATGCACTATGCAAAGTTTGCACTATTGGTCCAGAGAAGTCAAAGGCTAAAATAAAACATACTAACTAGGAATCATGTAATTAACTCTTGGCCAGTCTCTGCATCTGAAGGAAATCAAATATAGCTCTGAAATAAGTGAGTCATCTGCATCACATCCACCAATTCTCTGGCAAAACATTATGTCTAACCCCAGCTGGACAAACAGCATGGGCTAAACACTGCAAATGTAGCTCTGAACCAGTCACAGCGCATGATGCTGCTTGCCCAGCAAAGAAGTTACAGGACTTGCGGGCAAAGCTGCTACATAGAAAGGAGAACGCTGGTGCAAGAGATGATTAAATTTAAGGAAACCAGATTTCAGTAATTCTAATGCTCAAAAAAAAAAAAAAATCCACTGTTTCAACATTAACTATTCTCATAGCCCTGTGCTTTCCAGACAAAGGTGAAGGGCATTTCTGTACCCAGGACAGTGACTACTCTTCCAGCATTGCTTGAATATAGCAAGAAAGGTGACAATATAAAACCTTAAGAAATATTGGACCAATGCACAAAAGAAACAGAAATCCAAACAGCTTTTAGGTTAAGAAACAGATGCAGCAACTGAGCAACCCTCGCAATACTCATATAAGTTCTCACACCTTTGGGGGGGCATTCTGGGAAAATCATTTCACAGACAAATTTGTGCACACTACAAGAGATGTTTAATTTCTTAGTAGATTATGGAAATTCTCAGGGCTGCCATGGAAGGAGAATTTAAGAACTGAGTATGACATACGAGAACCTACAGTCCCTCACCTGTCTTTATTTCTTCACAATAATCTGTAATCTCTGTGATAAACAATCACAGACCTATTGTAAACTTTTTATGCATTTCCCTGAAGATGCTGGTATTGCATGCTGCCAGAGGTAGGCAGCTGACTCAGATTTCAAATCTATCTGAGAGAACCTAGTCCTACATTTCTATGTTTGGCCATGAATCTGGACAACTTTGCTCCAAAAATCATCCCAGTTGCAAACCTGCCCTGTCAACAGAAGCTGAAGTTTAAATCAATTTCAGCCAAGATGTGCTTGCTTTGGGGCATCACTGATGACATTTTCCCCTGTGAAATGTGTGCTATGGCTCAGACACACTCTAATATAGTGGGTTTTTGGCTGTAGTTCAATAATTCTCTTCTTCAAGAAGCGTTCATAGACATCCTACATAAATCTCATCACTCCTAAGTGGTATTTTTACAGACAGTTGTCTGTAAAATAACCCTTCCCCAGGGCTATTCTAGATCTGTGGCGTTGGCTACCAGCTCACAATGCTCCCTGTCCAATTTTCCAAGTCTCGGGTGATTCAGTCCTTCCCGTCTCTCCTTTCAGCCCTCCCTCTAGCTCTGGGCTCAAAACTGCCCTTTAACACTTACTGATTTTTCAAACACACTCCCACATTCTGCATTTCAGCAGCTACGAGGGGGCAATCGGGCCAAATCCATACTCACAAGCAAAGCTTTGTATTTTAATGCAGCTTTCTCTGCATGGTGGCATTATAGCATCGGCTTTAGGAGGGAGTGGATAGGAGACTGAAGGCCTGGAAGAAATTACAACAGCCACAACAAAGAAAATACTTCTGCATAACCTCTCCTCCCATAGTTACTGTTATTTTAAAATTCTCTTGGATTCAGGTGCTGCTGCAAGCCACAGCAGACAGTGTGACATATTTAATGTGCTTCATAATTAGTTTGCCAGCTGCTGCCGGCAACAGAGATGGGAGGTTTTCGCCAATCCAGTGGAAATGCAGAGAACACTCTGGATGCTGGGAAGGATGGTGTTTATATTCACCTTCATTGCTCCTCTTTCTTGTTATTTTTCCTCAACAGAAGCATCCAGAGGGTTCATGGACAGGAATGGCTCATTTGAAGACTCAATATAATGGTTTAATGGTGTTCATTAAACTCAGATATGATAAAGAGATTCCAAATACCCAATAGCAATCATGTTCCTGTCCCTCCCTCCAAGGCCTGTATTTTGTGGCTAAAATAATGCTCTGCTTGTGACAGGCATCTATGCAGAAGTTTTCTTCTGCTGTACTGTATTAGGAAAGAGAAAGCCTTCAGCAGAAAGGAAAAAACAAGAGCAGAAAGAAGAGCAGACAGGGTCCATTGCAAAGACAGCCTTTCTTTATCTTCACAGCATTCACTAAGACAGTAAACTAGCATGCTGAATTGGTCCCTCATCTACACACCATCCCCATTCCAAATGCCTTCCATCCATGGGTAGGAAAACGAGACATCTAAAATCAAGGAGAATTGGGGTGGATGTTGGGAGGAGAAATAAGGAAGGAATAAAAAAAAAAAAAAAAAAAAAAAAAAGAAATAAGAAACCTCAGTGTCGTGGTTTAACCCAGCCAGCAGCTAAACACCACACAACCGTTCGCTCACGCTCACCCTCCCCCCTCCCTCTCTGGGGCAGGGGAGAGAAATGGAAAGTGAAGCCCATGAGTTGAGATAAAGACAGTTTAATAAGACAGGAAGGAAAATAATAATATTATACAAATATATAAAATAATAATACCAGCTACTAGGAAGAAAATTAACTCTGTTCTAACTGCAACCAGGACACTCACAGTCAGAAGGTGCTGTCTGGAGGTTGTTTCTCCTCCCAGCCCAGCATCCAAAGAAGGCTGTAGGCCACACTCCCTTCCCAACATAGATACTAACACATCATGGGTTGGATGAGGAATTGGGTCATTTTTGAAACAAGCAGCAATGACACCACCAAAAGAATTCATCCAGCCTACGTTTCATGCCCACAACTGAGCTCCCAGGGAAAATAGTGTCAGAAGCGGGCCACATGTTTCTAGTAGGTCTGCAGATGGCAAATTGGTCAGAGAATTGAGAAGGGAACCAGATCCTCTGGGAGCTAGTCACAGCCCCACTGACGACTTATTGCATTAGTCCTTTCACAATCTTTACTCAACTTTTCTGTTGATTCTTTTAAAAAAAATATTCCCTGTTTCTAATGGAATTACTCATACCAAAGCTGTGCTTAGTTCTGTACTTGAACTTACTTACCAATGATTTCAATACCCAACCTTTTTGAGTGCTTCATAGCTGGAATGAATAATGTCTGCAAAATGCTTCGCATTCCTGGGATACTAAGGGGGTATTATGAGTACAGTACAAAGTCAGATCAGTAAGTCAAGAGTGCTAGAGAAGGTGCTTACCAAGAGGAATGCTCTCACTGTTGGGATCTTGTTCAATTCCATTAGCAGTCTGAGTGCTTTCTCATGGTTGCTACAGTACTCCTCGTACACAAAGAATTTGTCTTTCTGCAAGGAAAAGCATATTAAGTTATTGACTTGGATAAAACTGAAGTGACAATATTGTCTCAGTCTGATACCAAATTCTTTACAAAGGAGGGTGCACACAAGTGGCGTTAGAGTTGCATTTTACATGAAGTGAATGATACTCCCCAAATGTGAATAATGTATAGAGGTGTTCCACTAATTCCAAACTTACTCTTGTAAATTAGCGTCAGCTTTTGAGCACAGATCTCTCCAACACTTTTCCTTTTAATGCATCACTGAAATAATATATCCTTTGCTGAAAGGATGGATTTTGCTATCTCAGGGACACTCATGTATGTGTTAAGATATTCCAGTAGAGTAGACAGGAGCAAAGTAAAGGCAGGAGCAAGGGGGACGTTAACAGGACTGACATTTTGGAGCTGTGCTGATTACTGCTGCAGGAAGAGGAAACAGAGAAGGCTGGGAAGAACCAAGGACTGGAACATGTCAGAGGGGAACTATGGCACGTAGAGCAACCAGCTGGAAATCCCCTGCCTTGCAGGGCGGAGGGGGAAAACACCAGTGAATTGACAAATTCACTTTGTGTTCTGAAACACGAAGTGATGCAATAGCTGCCCACAACAGCTCTTCCGAATTGAAGCATTTCATTGAACATATACAAAATATCCAACAGACCATGGAAATGAAAGAAGAAAGGTAGCTTTACGACTAGATTGAGTTACTTAGAGTGGACCATGTCATACCCACCACCACCTGTAGTGGACTGAAATCCCTTGTCAAGAACCAAGGGAAAACTGGCAGCGCTCAGTTCTGCTTCACTGATCTTCAGAGCCAAAGACAGTCCTTCTTCTTACAGTGAACATTACCAGAGTCCACAGCAAACATCTGCAAACACTATGAAGTGATTCACAAAAGAAGCAGTAACAACTATTTCCATGCCTTAGTGGACCAGGCAAGGAGGTGAATCAATCCTTTCAAGGCTGTTGGGAAGGGCTGAACTTTTAGCAGCTATGCTAGAGATCAGCATTGCATTCACTGTAATAAAAGGAGGTCAAGAGGCTGCATTAGGCTTCAGTCAGGTTAAATGGTTCAGAAGCCAAAAGCACACAATATTTATCGGGTGATTTTCATAACAGTAGCTTCTCTCCTGGTTCAGCTAAGCCACAGTGAAGTACCATGCAGAGGTACACAGAAAAGTTACTTTGCACATTAAAAGCAATTTAGCTGGGTTAGGGATAATGCACAAGACCTCGCAGAGCCAGCATCTCGGGGCATCATGGCATGTCTACAATGCCCTGCAGAGTTTGTTGTGGTGTTCACATCAACTTCCAGTTTAGGATCCTGGCATGAAAGTATTCTTCCTGAATTAACTAATCTCTCCAGAACTTGGAAGTGAATTTTCTGAGCGTTGATAGGCCTCCTAGCATTCTTCAGGAGACGTGGAGCACCCTGTGCTAGCTCGTGATGAGATACCTGCAGTCTGGCTACCTCTAAGAGAGCTTACAGTGATCTAACCAAAAACTACTGTCAACTGAAGGAATTAAGTAACACAGAGCCCTGGAACACAGCTGCACTCATCGGGCATTCCCTTCACTATTGTCACAAGGAAAAGAAATTGTGTTTATATTAGTTTAGGAGAAGCATTTGACATTCTGGTCAGATGCTCAATGGTCAGACATACATGCTCAGGGACTGAAAAGCACATTTAGATTTATTTGTTTTAACTAACAATGTGGTGACTTTTTTTTTCCCCTCCTCATGCCTCCAGAGGAAGAACTGACAATAAAAAGATGCATTTCCAAACACGGCAACAATGGTACAAAGCAAATAAAACAACGGCCACAAAGTGCAGTGCAAAGAGCTGGAACACAGTTGTTCAAGACATCCTTCATCTACAGCTGTTCATATTGCTCTAATACTGGGAAGCTAGAAAGAAACAAAGACTTCTGACCACCAGATGCAGGAAAAGGCAGGATTGAATCCATAGCACAATAGAAAAGAGGTAACTGACAGACCCAGAATTGTTTTTATCCTTAAAATGGAGAGTGGTGGAGAGAGAGGACAGATTTATGAGTTTCCCCTACATTTCCTCCCCTCCCCTCAGCTCCCTGGATGCACACAAGCAGCATGCATGAAACTAAAAATAGCAACCATTAACACAGCAGCATCCAGTGCATCAATGCACGCAAAATGTCATTGCTCAGATTTCTGACTGCAGCTCCGAATGTCTGGAGTTTTGAGAGGTTATATTTAGATCATGACAAAATCCCTTTGCTGAACTCAAGACAGTACAATAATTATACACACACCAGAGTGCATTCATCAAGTCTTTCCCATCTGTCCCTCATGCATGAGACCCACAAATATGACAACTATGTTTTAAATTACTCAGTGTCTGAAGTGTTTAATTTCCTCTCTGGGTGACATTCAGTCCTGGACTCTCCCATCCCCTGGTGAGGAAATTATCAGTTACATAATTACAGATGTTAGCCCAGGAATTCGGAACCTACAGTTACTCTATATTAAAGTGCAATTATGGTCAGAGAAGTGACCACACAAAAATGGCACCTTCTTATTCAGCAATCTGCTGAATACATGGCTAGACCTTCTGGCTTTGGTGACAAAAATAAGTCTATACCCTTCTTAGTTTGGTTAAATATTTAAACCAATAGTTTATTTTTCATATATGTTATTTTGGGTCTGGTAGAACAGCCACAAATTAGTGCAAATTTGAAAACAGGCTTGGCTAGAAAATTTATGGAAGACATTTGGTAAACTGTAATCATGTTATTTGGATGTATTTTTAATGAGGCATGACATTTTCTTCTTTCAAAGCAAGCTGAAATCAGTTTTGTCAACATGAAAACCCTAAACAAAAGAGATTTCATTCTGAACAGAACAAAATCCCTGATGACTTAAACAGTAAAACTGATCACTCATGCAGCATTGCTCCTAAAAATGAGATGAAAACATTTCACTTGAACAAGCTTATTTTATAGCTACGAGGTTACTGAAGCTCTACCAGTATGACAGCAACATAAATCAAGCACCAGTCAATCCTTTGCCCTTCTGCTCTGCAGTCTTATATTTTCATCACCAGTACAAGAAAGCCAATATTGACAAGGTGTGATTATTCAAAGTTCAGTGTATACATTCTCCTTGATGATAAAGATCTGTTCTACATGTCATATTTCTTTTCAGTCAGCAGATTTTATTTTGAATTAACATCTAAGTGAGTTTGGTATGACAATAACAGAAAGTAAAGAACAACAACTCTTTATGAAATTCTAGTACCTAGCATCAGACAACGGACTTTTCATCATCTTCTGATCAAACAGAATACACCAGAGCAAACAAAGTCTGTTTTCCAGAACAAAACAGCTTTTCAAAGCTGAATAACAGAGCAAGCATATTTCATCATTTGTTAAAATACTTCCAAGTCAATATGCATTAGTTGCAGTGAAACATTATAGCTCTTCTGGAGCCATTGCAATATTGGCTTGTTTCAGGTATTACCCAAGATCAGAATGCTTCCAAGCTAGAGATCAGGGAGGATGTCCTAGCATTAATATAAATGGATCAATCATGATCCTAGAGGCTTATTATGACTAAAAGTGGTGTCCTGTTTTTCAGCATGGCTGGACTGCTGTTGAGCTAGGCTATTCTAGGCCAAGGTAAACCATTAAAATAGTCAAGTCTATGGACATTAGAAGAAATTTAGGATACATAGATCTCATCAACAGGACCTAAACACTATTCTGGTGGATCTCCCCATGGGGAATCTGGAAACGTCTGTCAGAGGTGTGTAATACAAGGAAACTAGAGAAGAAATGCCCTCTGAGAAACTCTCTGTCTGATAAAAAAAACTGTGCTTCAAACATTCTCAAACTCTTCTCTAAATTTATGAGCACTTTTAACATGGAGCTTCTGGAGAAAAGTACCTATGCTAACATCTGGCTGCTGACAAGGACGGGGTTTATAATCTAAACTAAGAATGACCTCGCCAGGTGATCATGATAGAAGATACACTGATATGTTCAAGATTCACAGGCTTTATGTCATTTCCTTGCTGCAGACTCCCCGAGGATACACTGTGATTTGATGATAATGGGAAAAAATAGCACCAAGGGCATTTTTTTTAGCACCTCTTTTTTTGAAAGCACATTCCAACACAAGAACCTTAGGCAAAATGAAAAAAAAAAAAAGAAAGTAAAGAAGTATCACCCATATTTTCCTTGGGTACACAGGCTAATGACATGCTCTGTCTCTCTCAAAAACAAAACAAAACAACACATTCTTCAGCCACGTTGCAGGAGTGCATCCCTAGAAGAGAACGGCTGGCTTTTTCTTCAGGAAACCTTAAGTGTACTGCAAGGGCTTCTTGTAGTGGCAAAATACTGTACACAATTTCAACAAAACTGGTTTCAGCATCACGGAAATGCCTTCAGGAATGACTGTTTCTGAGGCACAGTTTTGAGGATTTTGTTTGTTCGTTTTTTTGTTTGTTTGTTTTCTGCGAATGCTTCTGCTTCACCAGAACAACCCCAATACGGGAAATGGAGCTCTGGAAACCTGATCAGAGAGGAAATCAACACTCACTCTGAACCACAATTGCTGCTGGCATCTCCTGCTGGCAACTCACTATGGAAGCCTGCACTGTGAGAGGGGACAAATCCTACATCCCTCAATCCCACATACCTGCAGCGAGGTGATTATAAAACTTAGGCACCGTCTGTAGACAAGGACAGATCATTTCCTCCTCTCTTGGTAACTTGCTGTTGACTATTCCCTGCTCAGTCCTGAGGTGCCGCAAAGCTTCTAATGTTATTCCTACACTTCCTTAGGTTCATTATGGATGAGACCAGCTTCTTCCATATATTCTGAATTAAAAGATGTTTGACTTCCACCTGCATAAGCTACAGGTCTTCTTCCCTAGGGGACTGTGACATAGTTGATGTACACATTATTTGCAATGCACTCCGCAGACTACAATGTAAACTGATCTCAGTCAAATAGCCACTAGGCTATTTGGAGGACAAATTCTTACCAGCACTCATGTCTATACATTATAGTTTCATAATTCCTGCTTTGTTGCATGTTTGAGAAATAATAAACATCCAATTACATAATTATTAAATCCTGCGGGAATAAAGTTACAAAATGCTATGTTCACATACAAGAAGACATTGCCAATGACTACATGTACCAGGCTTGAATTCACTCAAACTACATGATATTAACATTTCTTGCTAGTCAGTGCCACCCTGAAACACAGTAAACAATTTGACAGCATCCCTCAAGACACCCTTGCTAATGAGTAATAATGTCCTGTACAAGATGTCCTGAGCATGTCTTCTTGGCGGCCAATGATTCTAGTGAGTATTCAAGTCCTTAACCGAGTACCTCAGTATGTTCTTCAGCAGCTGACAGTCACTCCTTACAGATGATACAGTTTTGGGGCACTGTTTCAATATAACAACATTCTGCTATTATTTTAATTGTTACAACATAAATAAAACTTATAATTGGTAAAGCTCTATAAATCAAGAATTCCTGCATCACCACCGTCCACTCAAGCTCAATGAATTATGAAAGCATTAATTATAATTATGAAAGTGTAATAGAACATATTTTGATGGGAAGTTGGCCTGTGGCTTAATGCAGTTAATAAGAATTTGAAGAAATGGCTATTATGTATATACTTTCTAATTTTCAGACATCTCAGGAGGGCAGCTGCATGCAAAAAAATCCATAGCTTTGAATTATTATACTTGTAAATCAGTAAATCAGCATTTAAATGAGTCCAGCTTGTGACTAGGTGCATGCAATAATTGATCTTGCATACTCAATTAGTGCATACTCTATGTTCTTATTAGTTTGCAATAATAAGAAGCAAATTATAATGAGAGGAGCAGTGGTTCTCTGACTTCCATGATTCTCTCATTTCCAATTCCATAGTTCCATGGTCCCTATTTATAGGTCTGTGCTTTCCAGGTCACCTAGCAGTACCAATCTGACTGGTGCACATAACTGCATTATGAATGTATTAAGAGAACAAATAATAAAACAATCAGGCATAAAGTCAGATGACACAAAAGTAACCTGACAAAATGTTTTGAACAACCTGGAACTGTCAGAGTGTACCACAACTACTTTGCATTTTGTGGCTGTGGCATTCTTAAGCTATTGTTGAGTCTAAAAGCCAAATTTTCTGTATTTTTGAGCTACAGAAATCAGTAATTTATTAATAAGTAATTTATATTTATTATACTTATTAATAATATTATTAATAATAATTAATTATTATTATTATTATTTTAATAATTGTATTAATAATGTTGTTAATAAGTAACTCATTCCATAGTAAAAGGTAGTATATGGTAACTCATACTATATTTCAGCAAGTGCAAGATAATCTCATGTTACCTTTAATTTACTGAATGATACATGTATGCACAGACACTAACTACTGTAGATGAGGTACAGTCTTTTGTTTTCAATTTTTGTCTTCATAGTTTTCCAATGTTATTTAGGTACAAAAAGTATTCATTTACTTGACATCGTGCTGCTTTCCTGAAATATTTGGAACCAAAGTAGATAAATTCTCAGCAATAAGTGTGATCAGCTGTGTGAGGGGGAGAAAAAAGGAAAAAAAAATATTCAATGGGAAAAGAAAGAGTTTCTAAAAATACCTCGTTGTTTAGCTGAGTTTGATGTGGCTTCCATTGTTCTAACCTCATTCACAAGTTTTTTCCCACCCTAACTTCAACTTTCATACAAGACACACATTGTCACAGTATTGCTACAAGCCATAGAGATTAGGGCTAGTTAAGGGGCATGGGAGCTTATGACAGGAAACTGCATTTTCAGATAGCGTTAAGTCATTGTACTTACAAATTTTAAGAAAACATTTCCCAGTTCATGCTGAGACTGAGGTTCTGGTTGTAAACTAAATTCCAGAGCAGCCAGGAACTCCTTGTGAACACCAAGAATGTCTTCGATGTTAGAAAATAAGACCTGAAATACATAAAGAGAAATCCAATGCCAGCTGTTAATAAAACACTCTCGGGTATATTAAGAGTAGTAGCACCAAAATACTGTGGTTCTAGACCTACTCGTGAAAAGATCTAAAGCACAGATAGTAACTGGTAACGAAGGAATTACATCGTATTTGCCCCATTCCTGGCATCCTATGGAAATCTTTATTGCTACTGATGTACCTGCTGTAAATGAAGGTTATCTTTCCAGGCACCTGAGCATGATAAATGTGAACAATCCCTTTCAAGTCTACAGAAAGTCTCCTATGAGACCAAACAGGTAAATGGAACCACAAGGACCAAAGTGACTTTGCAGGAGATAGAAGCAGGAAGTTGTTTGCCTTTCTTTCCCACACATTATAAAGCACTTCCTAGAAGAAAGGGACATGAAACTAGAAGTCACAAAGAAGTACCTGTACATGTGAGACCAAATCTCTGCAACATGTGAGCTGGCATTTCACTGACAGGAGCACAGAATAGTGTAAAATATTTCCAAACCACAAGAGCAGAGCTTTAGAGTTTCCTTTCACCACTCTCAGTGACTGTAAAATTTGTAGTTGGAGAGAGGCCCTTAGTTTAGATGTGCACTGAAGAGATTGTGCAATCTCACAGCTAAATGATCCCTAGGAATTTGAATAGGCATGTGCTAAGGGAAATAAACTGCCAGGACAAAAGCTGCTATAAACATACAGAATTTTATTAGGCTATCATCTTTATAGGAAATATGAAAAAATGTGAATACATTTATAGAAGATGGGAGATTACCTGCATAGGAGAAGTCCTGATGCACGGTGACACAGCTATCAGTACTGACAGCCACTGAAGGAAAGCCTGACTGGGCAGACCAAAACCTGGAGCCTGCTGTAACATACACATTGCTGACAGCATTTTCCATCACTCTGCTTCAACCGTGCCAATTGCAAAGAGAAGATTTGCCGTGCAGTCAAACCAGCTTTCATATTGGGAGCTGCCTCTCAGGTCTTGCACAGTGAGTGGGTGTCACTCTTACGAACCCCAAAGACAGCAGCCTGGCAGAACCAGCCTTCAGCTTCCTGGCAGTTAGTGGAGAAACTGAGTGAGCCTAAGATCTTCTAACAATTCCTGAAGCATCTTACAGCAACATTAACCTTTTCAGCTTTATGAGCTTTATTATGCAGTGGAATTTATTCAGCAGATGTGACACTAATTCAGCCTGGTGGATGGTGATATAGCAGTAATTATTAAAAAAAAAAAAACCTCTAAATTACATATAATCATTAAGGACAGAAATGAAAACAGATTCTTGGTTTAAAACCAGTCTCCTCTGGTTTTGTGGGGATAGACATGACAAGGAATTCAAGGAGCCTTCTGTGCATGTACCCAGATACAACTCTGTATCTTGTGTTATTCAAGGATAGGGAGGGCATTTTTTTCAAATTTGCAAGCTGGCTGCATGCGCAGAGCACATCGTGATGCACTTTCCTTTTCTTTGCTCACCTCTGCCTTCAGGAATATCAAGGTACGGTAGCCTGCACTACCATTTATGTATACTTGTGCCTTGTTGCTCCTTTCTGGCCCTGAATAAACTGAAGATTCCAGCACACTGCTTGCACTGAGGGGCTCTGAACCCATCAGAAAAGAAAGGACAGGGAACTAGGACTATTTCATTGCTTCCAGAAAACTTCCAGTGCAAATTCAAGCAGAGCATATGATGGTTCTATCGCATGGCTGAAAGCAATGTGATGACACATTAGCCTGTCTACACATGGCTGTGCCAGAAGCTGTGCCAAAAGAGGATTAACAAGGAAGAGGAAAACATCTGTCAAGGATGACTTTCTCCTTCAGGAGCAGTCTATCTGATACATAATTACCCTTGATAAACTTCATGTGAAGGATCTATGGCTGACACCTTGCATACACCAACAAGTTGTGCTGCCTTCACGGTGCTTTATCAGTAAAATGGTATCATTGTCCTACTGCAAATGCAGCACGATGCTAAATATCAATAGTTATTCCCACATAGGGCAGGAAATAAACGGAAACAACATTGATGATGTTGCTGCAGCTGTTAGTCACTGGAGTACTAGGCCTTGCAACGATTCACAGAATCACAGAACTGTAGGGGTTTGAAGGGACCTTGAAAGATCATCGGGTCCAACCCCCCGCCAAAGCAGGTTCCTCAGAGCAGGCTGCCCAGGGAGGCAACCAGAAAGGCCTTGAATATCTCCAGAGCAGGAGACTCCACAACCTCCCTGGGCAGCCTGTTCCAGTGCTCCGCCACCCTCACCGTGAAGAAGTTCTTTTGCATGTCAGTGCGGAACTTCCTGTGTTCTAACTTGCAGCCATTGCCCCTTGTCCTAGTCCCCACAAACCACTGAGAAGAGGTTGGCTACATCCTTCTGTCTCCCACCCCTCAGATATTTATATACATTGAGGAGATCCCCTCTCAGTCTTCTCTTCTCCAGGCTGAACAGACCCAGCTCTCTCAGCCTTTCTTCATAAGGAAGATGCTCCAGGCCCGGTATCATCTTTGTGGCCCTCTGCTGGACTCTTTCCAGGAGATCCCTGTCTTTCTTGTACCGGGGAGCCCAGAACTGGACACAGTACTCCAGGTGAGGCCTGACCAGGGCAGAGTAGAGGGGGAGGATTCAATGTGGCCTCTCTGGAAGAGGATACAGTGGCCAAAGATCATTGAAATCTTCACTGCTCAGTGCCAGCCGTAGGAGAAACCTGCAAAAATACTATTGGGAGCCATAACCCAAGTTACTCGAAAAAGTACTTTTTCCTTTTGCTTAGAGATAGGTGACTGCCAGAATACCCTGGATTTTCCTCTAGACATTTCTGCTGCATGAAGAAAGAGAGGAAAACACAGGGTTTTCTTTGCGTAAGCTACCAAACCATTTATGCACTCTGCTACCACCTTTTCTGCTGCCACCCACCTCACAGCTCCCTGATGACCCAAAACGTATAGGATTAGCAGGCAGAGTTATCAGAAGTCCCAACACAGCCTCGCTTGTCCTGCCTCTACCAACAAGGATTGGCAGAAGGAAAGAACAGCCAACCTTCAACTGCAGGAAAGACAATTGCATTGTTTAGGACGGGAGGAGGAAGGGGGAGAGATAACATTGACTCTGGTCAGAAAAACTGTGCCTTTGTGATTCTGTTTCACCAGCAGCAGGCATAGGTCCTTTATTACCAAAGAGCAGCTCTGTTATTGAAAGCTGGGTATTGTAATAATAAGAATTAATGAGGCCTCACAGTAGCCTCACAAAGGCACCCGCAGGCAGTTGAAGAATGACACAAAAATGAAGTAGCACTTCCCCAGAGGAATGTGATGGACCTTAGAATACAAATACATTTAATCAGCAGAGAAAATAAGGGCTTTTTTGCATGGGCTATGTGGGCACTGCAGCTTAGTATATGGCAATCATAATGGTATCTGAAGAACGAGAGAATTAACAGCAACTTTCACCAACCTCTGCAGTTGTTTGTCAAACTGGCAAATGGTTGTGTACGTTTACTTCTCCTGCAGAGGTTTCTTGCACACTTCTCTACTCACAGGATCTGTTATCACTAATCACTTGTCTACTTTTCTCTCAGCCGTCCCCAGACTTACTTCAGACTGCACATGATGAGCTTCCAGGGAACAGGGACTTCCAAATTTGAAGACAGCAAGAGGCTTAGCTCTCCAAATCTGCCAAACCTTCTTGCTACCACCCCATGCTGATGTCAGTTCATCAGTAATAGCATATTGCTAGCCCACAGAAAGAATTGCATAATGGAGGCTGGATCCCTGCTAGGATCTCTATACTTTCAGGTGATACTGCTATGTAAAATGGAAACACATCAGCTGTAATAGTGCTGGCCACAATGACGTACCTATTGTTGCTGCACTGTTCCCATTAACATATAAAGCGAAGACTCTGCTTCTACTCTGATGTAGAAGCTACAGGATCAAATGCAAGTCCAGTAAGCAAGACTCTGAAGGCAGACGCTGCACACTTTCCCACTGATGCTGAAGTTTCATTTGTGTATATGTACAAAGAAGGTTTTGGTTTCACAAGCATGTGTGTAACAAAGAGGTTGTTTAAGCCAAATTGCTAAAAGAAAGTGTTGCTTATTTTTATGAATATAAACGATAAGGCCTCCTGTGACAGTACACAGTAGAGAAGCTAGTACCTCACAGCTCTGCGTCCTATATGCCTTTCCAGTGCAGAATTCATTCATCAATGTCCTCATGCTAGGGTCTCCCATTCCTCAGTCCTCCCACAGGAGCCCAAATTCTTTCCTACTGCAATCCAAAGGAATATTCCTGCCTCCTTATAACACATTTAATTTATAGATTTGGAAGAGACAACAGATGTAAACTGGCTCACTGATTACTGTCAAGCAAAATAGATAGACACAGCCACTTCATTCCGTGCCTTTTCCCTTAAGAGGGCTAAAAAGGTCTCTCTGTCCTCTATACACCATATCACAAATCTTGCCAGAAGTTAGTGTTTCTGACAACACCACACTGTTATCAAATTCTACTGAAATTAGCTGGTGGGATAAAACAATGTTGGAAGTTGACAGCTAAACAAATGGGCAAACAGACTGAGAAACTGTCAGCGTGAGCCTCTTTTCCTTTGGGAACCAGTTTAATAATAAGCATCAATAAGATATGAGGATGTTTGATATCCATATCCCAGAATTTAGGCTTTCACTATGTATGAAATCCCTATCAATGAGGAATATGGAAAAAATACCTTAACATTCTCCTCTGTTATGTACTTCTCGGCTTTGTCCACAGCATTCTGGCGGATCCGGTGAAGAAATGCCTGCAGAGAAGAAAAAATGATGTTCAAACGTCTTGATATAGTTTGTTTTCATTCCTTTATATTACCCTCGTTTCCCATCAACAGTGTGGCTGATTACCTTTAAGACTGAATGAATGTAACCACCTACCAAATCACCACCACAATTCTTAGACTCAGACTTGCATTCAGGATAACACAAAAGACATTTCCTACAACATTGCTGGGTTTTGCCTGGTGATAAATGTCTTACCTCTGATGAGATTTTTAGACTTAGCTATCTGTTACTGCCAACAGACCACAGCAAGACTATTTATTTTTTCTTTGAGGCTTTCCCCTCTCTCTAAAGCTGTTTTGACTCTAGGAGGCATAGTGCCTGATGTACATCAAGCTGCATGTCAGTGAAAAGGACTGGGGGGAAGAAAAAAGAAAAAACTAACATTCATGGTGTACATTCACCATGAAGTACATTCACGGTGCTGGAGCTGAAGTATGTCAGAGCTATGGACTAGGGTTATGGACACTTTCAACAGACTTGATACTTGGAGAAGGGAAATGAAAATCTCCAGACAATTCCTGGGACACATTATCCTGTTTGCTGTTTCGTTTGGTTATAAACAGGCAAAATAATGCTAGAACTTTTCACTTAGGCCAGGTTACCCCTTTCCTCAGCTCTGCAAAAGCTTGATTTCAAGTGGCAATCAAAAACAAGCCCCAGGCCAGATATAAATGGACAGCGATTCCAATACCAGCCTTTACAGCTTAATTCTGGCCGCTAGAAGTGAGGAGCTACTTGCATTTGCACCAAATAAACCCACAGCACATTTGATCCAGCAGGAAGGACTTAGCAAAGCATGCTTTGGAGTATTTCTTCTTCAAATCTCTGCTTTTTCAGCAACCGTTGGCTAAAAGGCTCTTCTGAACGAGAGCAGGATCAGCACAGAGATGCAACTACCTGCAGGTGAGACTGAAAGGAAAGCAGCGCAGGCAGAACCAGCTCTGATAAACTACAACACCCATGCACGAGAGGAGAGGGCTTTTCTCCCTGTCTGTGGCTTCTAACTTGCCTCCCACACAAAGGGTGAGCCCTGGGGAGTACTGTGAACAAAGAAGGAAGGAACTTGTCCTACCCACCTGAGACAGAGGGAAATGGGTCAATTCTTTGTATTTATGGTACAAAGCAGCTTTGCTACAGCTTGATAATAAAACACTTTTAAAAGTTGTCCACTCCTCAGCAATGTTCGTGCCAGCTGATGCACACTCAGCTTTTTCTTTTTTCCTTCTCCCCTTTTGCCTGTTAGGATTGTCAGCAGCTTACAACATGATAAGAAGCAATGCCACTGAAACACACTCAGAGCTTACAGAATGCCTCTGCCTCTGTTAGTTTGGTTGGAAGACAGCAAGCATGTCCCTACGTCTCACTTTCAGCCCCCAAAATGACACATCCTTGTCTCTGGGAAGCCGTGGCTCTATAACACATCACTCGTTCAGACTTTACAGGTCAGGCACCAATAAAATAAAATAAAATAAAATAAAATAAAATAAAATAAAATAAAAAGAATTAATGAGGCAAACAGCCCCTACATTTGTTTGGGGCCCTGGGGTTCTCAATCTGCTTTTTTGTGACCAAATTTCCAGGCCTACAAGCACATTCCTCCCCCTTGTATTACTAAACAGGAAGGGGATCCTGGCTGGATTCCAGCTAGATATGGAGAATTTGGAGCAGCTTGGGTGGACTGAGATGTCTGAAAACCAGATTCCTGCAGTAAAGGAACAGGACTTGCACCAGTGGCCGTAAGGCCATTTGATAAAAGCCAGCCCAGCCACCTCGCCACTAACCTGGCCAGGAACTGCTGCTATGTGAATGCACTGCCCAGCATCTTGGAAAACTCAGGAAGTGTCTGAAATGAAGTGTTCAGCAGGATGATTAATAGCAGGAGGGTTGACAGGAATAGCTGTTGCCCTCCCACTTCACTGCTGGGTGTGGTATCTGAGCATTAAGAGTCAGGTATCTGATTGATGTGAGGTAGCACGTCATACTGAAGTCACTTATTCATGAAAGATAAGCCAATCAGGGACTCTTCCTTGCTTTAATCACATCTGTTTGGAGACAACAAATCCAATTGGAACAATTAATTAATCTAGGCACTTAGCAGCTCCACTGGTGACTAATATTTACCTGCATATTAGTCTCAGTAACTTGGGTCTAATAATAGACAGATGGTAAACAGAAGTGCAAATCACATTAGCTGTTACAGGCCAGTCAATAAAAAAGCAGAGTCTGTGTTAATCTAAAAAACAGCTTTGCTGTGACGCTTGTCTGAAAAGATCATTTAACAGGAACATGAGAAATGGAGAAAGAGAGAGAAAGAAAAAAATGAGAAAAGCTCAGAAGAGAAAATAGAAAGTATGAAATACTTAACAGGAAAAGAAGCAGCCGACTTACTAGTTAGTTTATCAGATCTTCTACAAGCCTCTGATTTGTCTTGACGTGCACAAGCAGCAATCTCTCCAGTAACATTAAAAACAAGAGAGCTACACGAGATTTTCATCCTAGAAATTTAGTAGTACACTTTCCAAAACGCAGCCACAAAAATCTAAGCTTACTGGACGCAGCACTGTTTGTTCCCCAGCTCTCAATACCTTTTCATCTGCAAACAGAATCTTTTGCAGCATGGTCACTCAAATTAAAAGCATGACAAATGCAGCCTACTAAACAGCAGTTCGTGGAGCTAATGTTGTGTGCCCTGTTCACATGACAACACCACTTCCCTTCCAAACTGCTTCGAGCTTGGAAAAAGCAGCCCTTTTCCCAGAGATTTGTTCAGACATTTAGGTCAGTGTTTTCCAAACGTCAAGCTATTTTGGTGCTACTGGTTTTATACTGGGCTCCAGACTCTTCTGCATCAAAACCATCCCTCCCTTCACCTGGTGACAGCCCCTAAGGCCCGCTACACAAGCGGTGCACAGCTCTCTTTGGGGAACACAGCTACAGGGAGTGGTATGAACTTTTATGAGAACAAGTGATTTATCTGGAAAATCAGACAGGTATTTATGGCAGGACTTGACAAACGGGAGAAGAAGGAACTTTAGCAACTTGCCATGCCTATATTTCATTTATGTTCCAAAACATACTGTTTAAAGAGTAAATACTCAAAGGGATAGGAGCTTTTCTGGCCATTTATAATGTTGCAGAGTCAAATGCTGCCTGCTCCTTCCTAGGATGCCACAGGATGACCATGAGCATCTTTTCTCCACAACCAAAACCAAAACCCTGTACCACAACATGCTATCATTTTCCTACATTTACAAATTAGCATGACTTTAGGGGAAGCATAGCAGCTTATGATACAAACTTCACTAAAACAATGACGTATCAGGTGGGTAATATGCTGTTGAAGAGCTAGAGAGATGACCGGGTAACAGAAGTCGGCTGCTCGCTTCTACCTGCCTGTATACTGGTCGTGACTAATACAAGGTTAAAAATTACACCAAAAAAAATAGGATGGGAGAAAAAAAATGACTTTTTCTTTTTTTTTTTTTTAATCCCCGCAGTTGTTGATTTTGCTGTCTTGCCATTTGTAGTGTTTTGCTGTGCTCACGCTGGGCAGACCCAGGTCTCTGAGCTACCCAAGCTGCACAGGAGGCTACTGCTTCCACATCAGAAGGGACTGGCGCAGCCCACAGCTCCTGAACAAAAACACGCACAGAAAAAATGGGAAAGCAGGCCGGTAGATTTTCATTCTCCTGACAAAGCTCTGCAAAGGTCTCATCTTCTATGTGTGTGTGCTAATCATTAGGAAAACAGCCCACAGATGATTTGTTTTTGTTTAAAATTCTGCTGCTGCATCAACATAACATTTATTTGTGCACTGTGACTTGTTGCCCTAGAGATCTGCTGCTTCCAAACTCAGCAGGCCATGTCTGATGGCCCCTCATGTCATGCATAAACACAGCTCAGAGTTTGTCTTACAGCACAATGCCTTGCGGAACTCAAGGAAACCTATAACAAATTAGAAGAAGCAGAGTGAAAAGCTTCCTTTCTGCACTATGGTGTACCGGGTGAGTTCATAATGACTGAAAAATAGCCTCCTTCTTCCAACAAAGAGTAGGACACTACAAATCAATTTAGGTACACAACTTCATTTCACCAAATAAGCATTTCTAATGGCCCTTTCTTCTTAAAGAAGTTTCATTCTCCAGTTCTTTATCCTTAAAATCCACAGCTGCAATGAAACTTTGTTCCTTGGGATGTCTTTGCTCCACCTCTGAACCAAAAAAACATAAAGCACAATTCTAGGAAAGAGTCTGCTAACTGGGAGTTGTTCTGGCATGGTAGCCTCAATCAGCTAGGATTTGTCTCAAATGCTTTTCAAGTGGCCCTTGTTAAACTCTGACTTGCAGTCTTAGCTTCATTACAGTAAGTGAGTGTTTAGCACCTTCCATCTAGTGTAAGTAACGCATGGCAAATCCCGGGACGAGGCAGTGAGAGTTTGCTGGGGCCTCTTTTCAAGGGGGCACTTCCTCAAACATTCGGACAGGCCGGGAGATTTCTCACTGAACAGCAAGGCCGGCACACTGCGCATAACCCAGAGGGAAATGAAAGGAGAACAGAAACAGTGATGAGGCAATGGTGAGCATATCCAAAAGGATTTCAGCCAGAGCCGAAAGCACAATCCTGTGAAACCTGTGTTCTGAACAGGGGACTGCAATTTCATCTTTTCCTTTAGTGACAGACAACTTTGTTAGACCCATTAGTGATCAGCACTGAAAACAACACAGGGATCCATATGTACCTAGTATCTTCCGTGTTAAAACAAATACATTCCTTTACACCTTTACACTTGTGCAAACAGTTGTTGAAAGCTCCTTGCAAGTGCAGACATTTTGATTCCAAGAAAATGTGCCCCCAGTGAAAAACCAAAGAGGTGAGGTGAACAAGTAATTTCACCATCCAACTATTGCTAACCATGCAGCCCCAACATAGGGGATATATATACATTGATCTGTCTCTGACAACACAC